GCTTGAACTACACAATATTAAAATACTTCTCCCTCTTCTCTAGAAGAAAAGGTACTTATGCGGAAATAAATAAATATGTAAATAGTTACAGCAATGATATAGAAGAGTGTTTTTTATATTTTTTTTCACCTCGTAAACGTATAAATAAATTATTTAGTATTAAGGTTCGCATGAATGACTTGACCATATACGTGACTCCTTTCGAGATATTCATCTTCTTTGCGGTACTTCTTATGAACAATGCTTCTTTAAACTTCCGATTTTCCACGTTCTCTTAAAACTAATTTGGACGAGTTTGGGTCCAAATTGTTTTCGTACTCATGCATATTTATTGTTTATTGAGTGGTAGAAAATTAGTTATCAACTCGTCATATTTTCAAATTTCGCGATCGGGGTAATTACCGGCTTGGTAACAAAGTGTGTACCGCTCAAGAATAAATTAATTACCATTCGGTAGAGTCACATAGACACCTGGTAAAAACTTAGTTACCTGGTTTCTTAGAGTGTACATGTATACATCCTTTAAATTTCACACCCCGCCAACATTTCCCACGTGCTCATCCTACTTCAAAGCCAACAAAGTCCTCAACAACCCACGGGCAATTCCTTGCACAAACTTTGCCCCGTTTTATGCGTAATCATCAGTATCCCGGGATACCCAAAGGTCAAAGGTTTACAGCTTTTTCTAAATTTCGACATATACTTTTCCCCCGATCTAGTCCACAGATCCTCACCCCGCCTCCAAGACCACACACATCCCGCCGAGTTTTTACACAATTCTCCCGCGAATGAGGGGAACACCACCCAATACGTTATACTGGCAGGGGCCGCCCCTAAAATCGATGCGAGGCTGGACCCATCCAATCGGTCCCATTCCACGATGACCAGATACCCCGCGTCAATCCCAAGTTTCCCGTAGATTGCATGAGTACTTGGAATAATCGGGCCAAACGCGAGTAAAGCTTGTTTCGCTATCATCTGTAAGTCTAACAAGGGACACTCACGACCTGTCGTTTGAGTCCAGGGTACCCACTATGTTTTTTAGAATCTACTAGGACCCCAGATGAGGGATTCATTCATATTTCCGTGTAAAACTCATATTTGGCGCCGTGCCGTGGCGCTAAATTCGCCAAATTTCAATGTTTTTATTTTTGAAACCGCCATAACTTTTGAAATCCTGGGCGGATTTTCAAAATTTGTTGCAAAAATCATGACAAGGAGTTCAACTTTCGTATCCCATGAAAATTTTTCCAAAATTTTTGCTTTTAAATTTTCGCAAAATTTCGTAATTTTCTTAGAAATGAGGGTTCGTCGAAAAAATGCTAAAAATATTTCAAAAATTAGAAATTTTGTATTTTTATTTTTTTCTCATAAATTTGGACTTTAGTGATCATTTTAAGCATAAAATTTTGAAAATCCCACATAATCTGCCAAAGTTATTTGAATTAATTTGAAATTGGTCGAAAATGCAAATTTTTAAGTTTGGCGCCACGGCACGGCGCCAAATATGAGTTTTACACGGAAATATGAATGAATCCTTCATCTAAGGTCCTAGTAGATTCTAAAAAGCATGGTGGGTACCCTGGACTCAAACGACAGGTCGTGAGTGTCCCTTGTAAGTCGTGGTGCAAACGCTTAATTAAATTTGTACCAGTTAATCGGATCATTAATTATACATAGTGTGTTCACGGTAGGAATTTTTATGTGTTTTTGAGTATGAGCGGCTTCCATTGACTAACCTGGTATCGTACGTAGTTATACATTGTATCTAAAAGTATGTGCACATTTAAATACGTAGGTAAACTCTAAATAAAAATAAGTAAAATTTACTCAAGGTTAGGTAAAAAAAGAGGGTTACACAACCAAAAGATAAAATTTATTCAATTGTTGTGCAAAATTTGTCGAAAGTTGTGTAAAAATGTGTCTAAAGTTTGCACAAGTTATACCTTTCGGTTGTGTCATCCCCTTTTTCACTCAACCTTTATTAAATTTTACTTATTTTTATTTAGAGTGTTTGTATGTACACATGGCAAACCTTAATTTTCCAAGCCTTATGTATGTACATATTAACCTTGACTAAGGGAATTGTTATGTTTCACTCTCCATCGTAAACAAATAATTGGAATGACTTAATTACAGTTTGTACACAAGAGTGAGAGAAAGAGAGGCGGAAAGATAGTAAAAATTTGATGTCATTCGTTCCCTGCTTAGGCATACCTGGAATTTGTATGTGTAATAAAATCCTGGTGTATGTAGTACTTCCACCCCAAAAATACTTAATTATCTGAGCATGTCAATTATTAATCGAGTAGCCGACACATACACATACGTAAGTAAAGTCATTCCTTGTGTACTGGTCAGTTTCTAAAATTCATTTCGAAAGGGAGGAACTACATACTTACATGCATAAATTGTAGAAATTTATCGCTATTGTTCCCCACGACGAGTTCAAAAATGGGGAGAAATTTGCTAATTTCTGTGACGATGGTGACACTCTACTTGGTCAGTGTCCATGGCGGAGCTCTGTCTAAAGATCTGGGGACGAAACCTAGAAGTATGTGCATATTTACATAATTTAAATGTCTAAAATTTACACATGTGTAATGTGCACGCTTAAAAATAATATTACCCTTTTTGAAAAGTAAACGCACTCTTAATTCTAATTTAGAATTTCTAAATTAAATAAGTAAACTATACGAAATAACTCCAGAGGGACGTTAACTTGATTAAGAGGAAAAGTGGGTCCGGATTTGGAAACAGTTAACTTAATTTAGTGCATTTACTTTTTCAAAAAGAGTAATATTATTTTTAAGTGTGCACACATTTAAATTGGGCAGATAGCATACAAAGATTGTCGAAAAATTAATAACAGAATTTCCACTTTATTTCCAGACGTGACAAGCGCGACAAAGAATTTAGAGCACGTTTGTACTCTGCTACAAGGCTCGAGTACCAATTTAGTTTGTGCACCTTGTTGTGCTTACTGCGCGGAGGTGATACTTGAATTTGAGAGAAGACTATCGTACTTTTGGAACTTTTATATCGTGCATTGTGTTTTGGTTGGGATCATAATTTCAAGAAATCGTTAGAAAATTTTATTGATGTTTTTATAGATTAATATGAATTGGTTTGTAAATATATTTTTTTATTTTATTTGTATCCTAAATAGATGAATCTATTATATGATTTGCGACTTGTTTGTAAGCCACGCAGCGCATTTTTTGCTTATTTATCATCTTTAAGGACGCCGATAAACTGCTTATCATGCGTCTTAAACTATGCATTGTTTGAAATATGTAGATTGACCATTTTAATGATTACAAAATATTTAATTCTGTACACTCTTAATAATCCGGTAAAGTCACGCAGGTAATGATTTTTCGGTAATAAATTTGGTAATAATATTTTACCAGGTAGTAAAAATTCGTTACCATGATGGTAAAACTTTATTACCAAGCCATTACCACACGGTACAGCTTATCATTACCACTGTGGTAGAGTCATATACTTGTGCTTTTCGGTAATGTTTATTACCAGATTATTAACAGTGTAGATGCTTTAATCATTGTAATTTCAACATGTGTAATATTTGCAGCAATTAATTATTGTAATTGTACAATTCTCAGTTATCTAAATACAACATTTAAAATAAGTAGTTGTACATGTTCATTTATACGTACACATATTCGATACAATATTTAAAATCTAAATCCAAATATAAATATTTAAGATGACAAGGTTATAAAAAACGAAGCAACTTATGGTTCAAATTGAAAAATGTATATCAGTTCGCATTTCACAGTTAAAATTAAATTATTGCAAGCTTGAAATGGTAAAATTAAAGTTAATTTGCACCTTTACATACATATTACCATTTTTACGCATGTACATATTTATGTAAGAACTTCAAGATTTCTTTCAATTTAATTACCCAGTTCTAAAAATAACCTGAGTCGTCTACATACATACATACATACATACATATGTACAAGTTGTACATATTCGCATATTTATTCGGCAAACCAATAATACCTAATCATATTTAGTAAGAAACCCAGGTGCATAAAACTGCACTGGTTTAGAGGTCAGTTACCTACATATGTATGTAATTAGGGAATAAGTTTCCAATACAAATTTTTGAAAAAAATGCCTACAAATAAAAATAAAATTTGGTCAGCCACATCTGAATGATATATAAATATGTACACATTTCTATTTGATATACGTTATATCGTGTGGCATATTTATGGCACGCTGGCGAGTGACACCGGATTATATTATTATGCATTGATGGTACATATAGCCTCGAAATTTTATGCTGGACCTATTATATAGTAGAAATTACTGAAAAAACGGATTTAGCAATAACCTCGTGAAAAATTTTCAATTAGCCTACACACACATTAGTATGTACCAGATGAAGGGATATCTATGTATTACTCGAGCCACGAAACGTATCCCAGCCAAAGATTACATTTTTACGGGGTTTTCCCGTTAGTTCCCGTAAGAGTTAACAGTAACACGTCGTCTGGTTCCCATTGTTAACTTTTACGGGAACTAGCGAGAAACCCCGTAAAAATGTTCTCTTGGCTGGGATACGTGGCTCCCGAAATACCAGAAAAAATATTTAGTTTACACAGTAAGCAAGATAAAAACGTGCCGTGTTAAAGGAAACTTATGTGAACATATTAGCAGAATAAGTGCACACGAGCTAACTGCGTGTACGTACGTATGTAGTATGAGTTACGTGACAAATCACAAACATGTTTGGAAGTGATGATTTCATTAAAATTAGATATAAGTTATGCACATATATATTTCTGATATTTATTTAATTACATAAATGCGATCATGTTCATTACTATGCAGCTACATATGTACGGGTCCAGCCGATGTAAAACTGTTGGACGACAGTTAATTAAGATAACTTCAATTTGATTAGATTAGTGAAAACTGACGAGTCATTATAGAACCTGTAAATGTGCTACGTGTGGGATAAGTATGCACCCGAGTTCAACAGGGTGTGGCAGTCCACTTCAGAAGCTCGCTTTACACAGATTGTAAAGTTTACGCAATAAGTTCTCGTATAAAAATATTTTGAAATTTTATCAAAGTTCCTGAAATGGCCGCGGCTAGACCAACTGCCCCACCCCCCAATTTACTGGACGCCCTCGAGTGCACTATTTGCCTTGACACACCCGTATCCCCCATCCACGAGTGTGACAATGGCCACATAGTTTGTGGAGTTTGTGCCGAGAGGATGACAGAATGTGGGATGTGTAAAACGAAATTGCAAATATCTAAATTGGCGGAACGACTTTCACAAGTTAGCAAATTAAATTTACGTTAGAATTGCGAAATTATTTTTGCAACCTGTAATTTGTCCTTGTTGTAGCTTGACTTTAAGACCGCATGTCCTAACGCCACGTCCGGATGTGTGACCAAAGTTTCGGCGGCTGAAGTAAGGACTCACCTGGCGAAATGCGGCTACAGGTATTCGTACACATGCATGCACTCTCAATAATTTTATTATACGATTGTTACCAGGATCATAAAAAGAATACTGATAAATATATGTATTTACATATATGGTTAGATTTTGTTAGTTTGGATAGTTTTTTTATCCCGAAGTAGGGATGGTAGCGAACCCCCCCCTTGACTCGAAATTAAGGTTTAATTAACTTTCAAAACTTAGGTAGGTTGAAAAGTATTAAGGTGGGGTGCCAAATTAAATTAAATCCGTGAGGGAAGAAATATGGAATACTTAACAAACTAAATTCTACATTTATTTAGGGTAGAATTAACAGATCGTATGTATGACATTTTTGAAGTGGTTTATTCACAAGCTTTCAGGGTTCAACTGTCCCCTTCTTCAGGTGTAAAAGTGTACAGGAGAAATTATCGGAATAATTTTATGAAAGATAATATTTTCAAAATCGGATGAAATGCAAAGTTGTTGACATCATTGGGGTCGCTGGGTAACTGGGATTGTAGTTTGGCGTATAAGCGTTGGTGCTAGGGGCAGGAGTAGTGATGTCCAAATGGGGTTTATTTCCATACCTAGATCTCGATTAATTTTATTTCTAGTATTTCTGATCAGTAATCCCTCCTTGAATTTCCGGTGGAAATATCTCTCCTCCCGATGAATGAGAGTTGCTGACTCTGTTTGAATCCTGTGATCAGGATTCTCAATTATGTGTGTTGCAATCGCGGATTTAATATTTTTCTTTGTTAAATCTCGGTCGTGTTCTTTTATTCTTTCCTCCATGGGACGTGATGTCTCTCCAATGTATGATGAACTGCAGTCGCATGAAATTTGATATATTCCAATTTTAGGAGGTGGCTCTTTTTGCTTATGTGTGCAGATTTGGTTCCCTATTTTTCTACCAGGAATGTAGCCAAAGTCGCAGTTTAATTTTCTTTTGAGAAAATTAGTTAGGTGATGAGTAACGGGACCCATATATGGGAGAATCATGCGTGGTTTATCGTTTTGCTCATTTTCGTCTCTCCTTCTGGATCGCATCCGTTGTATCCGAGATTGTAGGAGGGTGTTTGGGAAGTTGTTGCTGAAGAGGTTGGTTCTGACATGCTGAATTTCTTCCTCAAGATATTCGGGGTCAGAAATTATAAAAGCACGATATAGTAATGCATCAATCACGGAGATCTTGTGCGATGGATGATGGTATGATGAGTAATTTAGGTAACGTCCGGTGTGAGCTTTCCTAAACACCTTTCTCCTGAGTTGATTTTCTTCGTCTCTAATTAGAGTCACGTCTAAAAAAGATATTTGTCCATTTTCTTCTTCTTCATAAGTATGTATTGTCAAGATGTTATTATTTAGAAAAAATTATTCAATTATAATTTTAAAATTTAGTGACAAATTTTTACACACATTTTTACACTAATTTTATTGAAGTTTATATTCACATTATGTCATGAATTCGAAGCATAAAAATTATAAATACATGTCTTGTCTCATCTGAGCACCACCAATCCGCGAAGATTGGGCAATGTTGGTAACGCCGCTGAACGGATTGACTTGAAATGTATACATATCATACATGTATGCTCTAAATGTACATTACGAGCATAACCGTATTTCGTAATTATTCTCAAGGTACGTCATATGTGAGGAACAAGGGTGGCCACCATGCGACAAAGTGCAAATCCCAGTCGGAGATTTCTTCAATCACTTGCAAACCATTCATCAAATTCAGTTGGATGAAATAATTACTGGAAAATGTTCCCAGTTTTCGGTGCAGACCAGTTTCGAGGTATATGCCATTAGATACGCAATTATGTAAATATATGTATGTATACAATATTTATGCAATAATTAGTAACGTCCTTCTGAACTTAAATATGTAGTAATGTTTGTTTACCGGAATTTATTAAAGTGTGAAGACCTAACTAAAAATTATTGAATTTCTTATCAGGCTTGGCGAGAGAGCAGATACTAAAATTGGTCAGGAAAAACGGTCAGATATTCTTAATTCATAGCCACATTGACACACACCTCGCAACCTTCTTGATGACTGTGCTTGGCGATGAACCAGACGCTAAAAAGCATTGGTTTCAAATCAAGCTGGGCAACGAAACCAAAAAGCGAAAAAAAGGTAAGTAAGGTGGCCATTTATTCTGACGCGAAAGCATTTCATTCGAGAAGTGTAATAATAAAAACATTGTAACCCGAATGTAAAAATGAGGTCTGAATTTATAAGCCGTTTTCTAAAAGTAATTACAAACCTTAACTTACCCCATTTTGGAGTTTTACTTTAAATTGAGCGAATATAGCTCTTGCGGAACAATTCCGGACAAATTTCGCTCGAATTGCAGAGTATTACTTTAGCGGAATTCAAACAAAAGTAGTTTAGAAGGCGAAAAGTCCTTCGTAAGTGCTTAGCTTAACATGGATTCTGCGTTGCAAAATTTCACGTGTGTGAAGTTGTTTGACTTCCAGACCTCCATTAAGAAAATTTTACCCCAAAAACACTTTAAGTAAGTGTTCCAGGAGTTCCAGTCCGTTTGTCCAATCTTCGGGATTTTTTAAGACTTCCGGAGTTGAGTAGAAACAGTACCTGAGTAGGATTAATTTTTGTAGTAAATTTTTCAAATCAAACGGGTTTTTATGTTTGATTAAATATCCACTGAAATAAAGAACGGGCGTACTATGCGCAGACATTCAAAATTAGCATAACAAATGTATGGATGATTTAGACGAGTATAATTACATAATCAAGGTATTCACATATTTGTATGCAGGAAAAAGTTGCAGAATGTGTATCAACAAGTGCCAAGGTCCATCCGATTGTTTACGCAAAACCATATAAAGTTGATGACTCACCAGGTAAGACACATCGTGACATTTTATTTTATTTAAATTTATATCTTTGTATGAACCGCACATTTATAATGTGCACTTAACCTCTAGCTTAATAAAAATATCAAACTGTTCTTGAATTGACCGGTGTTTATTACCATAGCAAGCTCAAATTCACTACTTGTGGAAGATCGCGTTTGCTTCCGTCCAAGTGATTCCAAGGAACATCAATATACTGCTCAGCTGACAATTAAACACGCGTCAACAAATGGAGAAACCTTTATTATTTGCGTAAGACTGTCTGTTTTGAAATTAAGAAATTAATTCAGATGAACTGGCATTGTGTCTTATAGATTTGGACCAGTGCTCCAAAGCGGTATCGAGCAAGCCACAAAATCTTTATAGTGCATACAAATGAAACAACACATGTTACTATTGTGATACCCCGTGGAGTCCCAGCTGACAGTATGACGGGGGACACGTTTTCCATATGTTCCATGGTAATACCACAAAATCTGTTGTACCACACAGAAGAAATCTTGAGCAAGGAACGTAGCACCGTCACAAAATTTTACGATTTTGAAAGCCGAGACGAACGGACAAAAGCATGGGAGGTTAGTTTCGTTAAATCTGACCGAATTATATTTTATGTTACCCATATTTAGGAGTAGAAGGTCACTACTTGTCGGGCCCCGATTTCGATCTCCTTTGGATATGTTGTAGTACTACATGAGTGTAGAAAAAGTGAAGGAGGGTTAGACTCCATGAGCCCATTTACGCCCGCCACACCCCCTCAAAGGCGCCCAAACCCCCAGAGTTGCCGCACTAAAATCATCGCCAGAAATCGAGTTTTGGTCAGATTTTCAAGAAATTTACATTTTTGTGATCCCAGATAGTTGCTCTATTATATCCAATAGCAAACTCAATTTTTTTGAATTTCGAATTTTTTCAATACATACCCTTGGTCAGAAAATCTTCGAAAATATTGAAAATTTCAAAAAAGTTGAGAAGATGGCAAAGAAAAGTGTTAATTTCGACCGTTCTTAGGAAAATTGACCTCTTGACCTCCAAAGACAATCCTCCGACCCAAAAGGAAATTTCCCGTAAGGTTGGGGTGTCTAAGCCTTGAGTAAAAAGAGAAATTAAGATTTTGAAAAAACGACTTCGTCGGAAAACTCGTGTGCATCAGCTGACGGAAAAACAGGAAAAAATCGCGCCCGTGTTTACAAAAAAATTTATTCAAATTTTCTGTTATGGATTTAGAGTGACTTTTTGGTGACATTTGACGAAGCACTATTTTATCTACAAATTACTAATTGGGCTCGAAGAGCTCACTACACGACAAATGCTGAAAACAATTAACGCAAGTTTGTGCTTCCCTGTGAGGAGAACTTTTCTAACAAGTTTATGGTCGTGGGTGCAATGTCCGGTCGTGGTGTCCTCCCACTTATCAAAGTCCCGCAAAAAGTGAACGTATCTGTAAAGTATGATGTGGACCGTGTATTGCAACCACTTTTAGAATGACATTTTCCTAAATTGTACAGTAAAAAAATAAATAAGGTAATGTTTCATGCAGACGCAGCGTCTTCCAAGACGGCAAAGTAGCCGCAAGATTATGCAAAGGACCTTGAAGCTAGATTTGAGATAAAAATCACTTCGAATAGTGAAATACCTGTACAATACGCTGATGTAAGTCAAATGGACTTCTTTGAGTTCGGATACTCGAAAATTAAAATTTTTGTGCGGAGACCGAATTTTTTAGACGGAGTTTGGAAAGAGTTAAAATGACTGTCTTGACTTCTGGCGGCTGTGGGGAGACATTTTTGAAAGTAGAGAGTTGAATTTTTGCACACACGTACTTGAGAATAACATGCTCCTCTGTTCAAAATTTTGACCCGCTACGACAAACCGTTCCGGGGTTATTCAAGGCCAAAATCGTTATATTTTAAGCGCCTGACCCTACTGTAGCACGTTTTTAGAAGTCGTTATAATCCCTTCATAAGATACCAAAGATTTTACTTCATTGAAGTTCAATGAAGGGGACTACTCCATGATCGCTCATAATATGAAACTTGAATCACATTTACATAAACCCGCTCTAAATAACTTGGGGACAAATCGTCACACGAGGAGGTACATATACTCAATATAGTTCTCAATTTTTTGGTAGTGATTAAGGAGACATTTTATCACCAAAGGGAAATAAGTCAAAAACTCATGTAACATATGTGATGTCATTAATTTAAATAGTTAAACAGTTTTATTTGATAACAAGATTTGTTTGCGAAGAATGTGTTCCTCTTTAAAAATTTTTCCACAGTGGGGGCACTCGTGGTGGGAGCATTTCATTACACGTGGCATGATTAGCTGAAGAAAAACGTTTCTCTTTTCGGTGCAAAAAATGTGCAGGATAATCCAATCTTGGGAAGAGTTTGGCATCAACTGAGGAAAAGTTGGCTGTTCAACTGTTTATAGACAGACATATTTATAAATTGAACCCTTTGGACAATTTAAGGTTCATTCCATCACCTTGCAAAGGATTAAAACCAAAGAAAGACATCAGCTAATGCTCAAGAGTTAGTTGAATACCAACCCTTCACTGACTCACATACAGATGTACTTATCCACGTATGTAGGTACCACATTTTTAAGAGAAAAGTGTTTTATCAGCGTGTTGCAATGATCCTTTTTCCATAAACTATTTACCTTAAGTTTACCAAGACTTAAGGTTAAAAAGTACGAGAAAATGCACAGGAAATGGTCTTGGAAAAAGGGTATTAAGTTATTACTGCTCGAGTTTGGGAAAGGAACCGTTATATTTTGAAAATTATGTGAGCAGAGTTGGTTGACAATAACTACTAGTTATTGTTACAGTTACAGTTAAAAGATAGAATAATAGCGGAAAATTTGTTCAACGTGGTACAAAACCATCCGCACACCGTACAGATTTGCGGATGATGCCACCCCATCAATCGCACCCCATCAATCGCACCCCCGCTAACGCACCCCACCATTGCCACCCCTAGGATGATGCCACCCCCGATCATTCGCACCCGAGCAATCGCACCCCTGTAGATGCCACCCCTTATCAATCGCACCCCTAGGAGTATCCCACCCCCGATTTTGTGAGATTTTGACAAATTTTCAGGCACAAATAAATGAGTGTAAATATGCGATATGTTGCTGAATTTATTGGGGTTATAAAACAATGCTAGGATTATCTCATGAGTGACATTTTGAGTTACCGCCCTACTAGCACATTGCCAGTGCCGATTTTGTACCGGTATGCCCCATTTCTCGGTACCGATTGTATAACGATTTCTTGCTGGTACTGGGAAATCGGTACCTTACCATCACAGTTTAGGAACAAATTTTGGGTACCGGGACTGTACCTGCAACACTATACAAAAATGGTATCGGTACTATATGTACGGTTCCACCTGTACCAAAACTGTGCCGGTAAGATACCGATTTCCTTGTACCAGCACGAAATCGGTATACAATCGGTACCGAGAAATGGGGCACATCGGCACAAAATCGGCGCTGGCAACATGTACCGGAACCGGACAGGTTGTGCTGGTAGGGGCGTTATCGTTTTTAAATAATGGACACAATCCTAATGAAGGATTTACACATTAATCCTGCTACTAGTAAAAATAAAGCAAACGTGTACGTATGTATGTACATATTACTTTCTTAATGCTTCCCCTAGGCGTGTAATTTATTCAATTATCATCAGGCTTGATAAATTAAATTCATATTTGGACAAAAAATCTGTAAAAAATTAAATCTCCGTAAAAATTGAAACACATAAGTCAATATCAACGAAAATAAATCTCAGTAAAAATTCAAATATCGTCAAAATATAAACAATTACATAGGTCTACAAATTAATCAGTTCAGCTTTATTTTACTAGTAATAGGATCAATGTGTAAATCCTTCATGAATTCTTAGGATTGTGTCCATTATTTAAAAACGATGACGGTAACTCAAAATCTCACTCATGAGATAATCCTAGCATTGTTTTATAACCCCAATAAATTCAGCAACATATCGCATATTTACACTCATTTATTTGTGCCTGAAAATTTGTCAAAATCTCACAAAATCGGGGGTGGGATACTCCTAGGGGTGCGATTGATAAGGGGTGGCATCATCCTAGGGGTGGCAATGGTGGGGTGCGTTAGCGGGGGTGCGATTGATGGGGTGCGATTGATGGGGTGGCATCATCCGCACACCGTACAAAATTTATCTAACCGTTGAGTATATACATACATTTTGCGCAACCATTGTGTCGTCCTCTATTTTAGATACTTGAGTAAATTTGTGCATATTTTGGTTGATATATAAATACGTCTACAATGTATATTTGGAACCAGTTGCCGCATAAGTTGTGCGGACCATAAATGGGGGATTTTTGTAGCATGGGCGGATGATGGGGACAACCATTGAGCCTCTGCCCACACGCTTCCGCGGCCATTGTATAGAATTAATTTCGTATTTGGCAAGGAATTAGCACCACGTTGCGTTCGTGCGTTCTTTGCATACTGGATGAGGTTACTAATGGCTACTAATTAGCGAGAATTTACTAATCCTATTTGGCGCGGTGCTTACACACTAAATTTACATATTTTTGTGTACTTGTTTAATCAGCCATTCACGTTCTCCGAACTAAATTCTCATCAGCACTGCATCTGCTACATCATAAGTACGTACATACATATTACATGCGAAAAAAAATAATTTGATTCATCAATTAATATGTACAACGTCAAATATTCAAACAAGGGATGGTTCTCACTTGCTTGTCGTGTCCAGGGTGGCCACTATGTTTTCTTTTTAGAATATACTAAAACCCAAGATGAAGGATTCATTCATATTTTCACGTAATACTCTTGTTTGGGGCCGAGGCGTGGCGCCAAACATTTGCCTAATTATAAAGTTCTTATTGTTCTAACGGCCATAACCCTTGAAATACTGGAGGGATTTTCAAAATTTTTGAAATAACATCAATGATATTATTTCAAAAAATTTCAATCCGTCTCAACTAAATCACGATGTAGCATCATAACTTTCGTACATTTTGTACTTTTCTAAAAAAGATTTTTTTTAATTTGTGCACAATTCCGTAATTTTCTTGAATTTGTCGCATGCAAGTCTTAAAAACATAAAAACTTAAAAAATTCTATAAAGCTCGACTCTTGAGTTACAAAATTGCAAAATTACAGAATTTTGAAAATCTAATAGAAACTGCAGCATGCAATTGGTCGAAAATACAGATATTTTACAGAGTTTTATACGGAAATACGAATGCATTCTTCACTTATGGTGCGAACATTAAAGGAAGAATACAATTTTGGAGTACTTGTTAACCTTCATCCCTTATCAGTGACCTGGTTCGGGTTCAAGTGATCGAATAATTACGATCAATTTCTCACCTTACAGGTAAGGCTGTATTAATCGAGAAACTTATGTCAAACTATCGCCCTCCGAGGCTGAGGAAGAATAATGGTTCACAAGTACTCAAAAAGTGTCCTCTTCTTTTAATGTTCCCACCATATGTAGCTCCCCAGTACATAGATTCTGAAAAAAATAGTGGCCACCCTGGACACGTTTAGCAGTCGGGAAACTTCCCTTGTAAGAATCACGGTCTCTACATGAAAATAAATTTTATCCAACGTCTCGACTACGTAAATTGGTTTAATATTCATTCGTCATATCGGTGAGTTAAAGATTATAAATTTTACCACGTTCTCCAAAAGATAACGGACGTGAAAATAAGTATGTAATCTACGTATGTATGTACTCAGTAAATAAAAGTTGTAGAAAATTTACCCAAGATTGAGTAAAAAAGGAGATGACACAAAACTTGGTTAAACTTGTCCAACGATTTGATAAATTTTACCCAATTATTGTGCCTTCCCATTTTTACTCGTGAATGTTTCACAATTTGTATTTAGAGCGTACATGATTACTGAAGTAATTAATTTTTAAACCGCTGTTTACGAACGAAATTAGTAAATTCTTGCAAAATATTTGTATCCCATTATTTAGTTCGAAATCATGGAATTAAAGCAACCCCTAATTCTAGTGTTACTCCTGACTTCCTCTTTTCTCATTTTATCCCTCTCTTTCTGGATTTTCGACCTGAATAACAACATTCCAATCGTGCTTCGATGCGATATGAACGATTTGGTGGAAAAAGAAACCGAGAAAAGTAACCAGACCGGGGAGAATTTTGACTATCCCGAATTTTTTCGTGTAGACGGACGAATCACGAAATTCTTTAACCAGACCGGAAATAATGCGAATTTTTCAAATTTCAACGAACTCATCCCGTATCTCGTGTACAACGCGACATTCTACAACGTTACCCCCACCATTGCTATATTGTTTTACTACGAGTGTATAAATAACACGAAGGAAAAAATTATCTTCACAACAGAAATGGATGAATTATACCCGGAATTTTACGCTACAAGAAGAAACATCGTAGAATCGAAAGGGGGCGATGAAGTTAAATATTTTCGGGTAAGAAGCAGTTAAATTTTGTTGTGGAATTATTTTTGGGTGTCACCTGACCTGCAGAGTTTGACGCATTCGGGTTAGACTTTTTTTGATATGGAAATCCAAAAATGGGCATAGTGACATTTATGCAAATGAGGTGAAACGCACACATTATTCAACCGTATTTGGGCGTGTCACCTCATTTGCATATTTTGACGCATTCCGGAGAGGAATAGACTTTAGTCGATATGAAAAGCCCGTATCGTCGGAATGGGTATGGTGAGATTTATGGAAATGAGGTGATATGTACAAATATTTACATATGTACAAAGACAAGTATGTCAGGAACTAACGTTGTTAAGCGAGTATATACACTCTTAAAAGTATTGTTACCCTTTTGAAAATCCACTCTGACTTATAAATCGAGTAAACCCTACCAAATCCAGGGCAACGATAATTTTCTAAAGATGAAAGTTTACCCTGGATTTATTTAGTATAGTTCACTTACTAAAAAATTCAGACTTTTCAAAATCAATTAGATATTTTTAAGCGTATGCACAAACCCTTCGTGAATATCCATATCCAAATGGTTAAAATTGACAATTTGGTCAACAGAGATAAATTCATTACAAATTGTAAAATTGCAAAATATTTGTTTAAATTTGTACAAAATTTCTGTCGCAAGTACATATTTCAATATTTGTATTACAAAAATTGACGATAAATGATAATCATGAAGATTTTATTTTGACTTCCTGCCCGACAGGACGAGGAGAAACGAGACATCTTCTATTTTCGACTCCTCCTGCTCAATTCCAGTGCTCAACTCGTATTTGGGACACTTATCGCAATTACGTACCTCCTTCTGTGGGAGCGCCACTCCCTCCACGGCCACCTCCAGTTGTGCTACGTCCTTTCCGAAGCTGTCTACAGAACTGGGAAGCTTATCTATCTCGCCATTTTTTTGAACGGAATAAGAAGCACTCAGTTCTCTTACAACCGCAAGTATTTGCAAAATTGTGCAAAATTTGGTAAGATACAAAAAAACAATGCATGTAACCCAGGGGTGAAAGCATTTTGTACATAATTTGTCCATCGAAAATCTGTTGAAATTGACGTGATTTTAACATTTGCGACATATCTGCATGTATGCAGGTTAACATGTGGTGACCCTCTTGTGACCTTTTGTGACCTCTTAGGTCAAAATGGAGGTCAGCATTTAATTATATAGGAACTATGTACATTTCTGTTGAAATTAATGTAACTCTCCATTTTCCTAGACATTAGGAGTTACCATACAGACGGACTGACAGACAGAAGGAATTTACATATAGAGGGCTTTCACCCATTAATAACAAATGTACATATAGACGTAGCTTCAGTGCAGTCACGTCACCCCAACCATGCCCGAGAAGACATACTATAGTGGGTTTCATTCAACTTCGTAAAATCTCATTTTGCCCCCGACCACACCCATTTACCTCTGGGGTGTACCGATGATCCCTGATCATACCTGATTTTGATTTTGATAGATCTGTACATGCTTATTGTTTTATTGTAAACAGATACCTTTTCTGCGTACAATTACAACGCAAAACTCCTCTGGCTAACCCTTTTGGTATACGACTTGTGGAAAACGTTTGGCAATGGGATTGTTCTCCCGGGAAGTAGAAAATCAAAATTTGTCAAACATTTTGCTTTCGCCATTCTGTCGCCAGCAGTGTACACCTGTGCCGGATTGATATTACAAACTACGGTATGGTAAGTAGACTATACATATCTGTAGTGCTTTGAAAAATCAAAGTTTATAGACAACTCTAATTAAAAATAAGTAAAGTTTATTCAAGGTTGATTAAAACAGAGGATGACACAACCAAAAAGGTAATATTCATGCAATCGTTGTGCAAAATTTGCCAAACGGGGGGATAAATTTTGCGCAACGTTTTACCTTTTTGGTGTGTCCTCCTCTTTTTTTCGGCATTTATAATTCCACCCCCACCCCCACCCAAATCCACCCCCACCCCCATCAAATCCACCCCCACCGCCATTCACCCCCAAAAATTGCCTAAGTTTAACAAGTTACATAAAGATACAACCTTTGCATATAAATGTCTTCATATTTTTTGTGAATTCGTATCCAGGGGTTACGATTGCAGTATGCTTCTCTATCGACGGAACAAAATGGTATCTCAAATTCTAGGAAACGCCCCTTCCATAATTCTCTTCGCGTGCAACTTATTCTTTGTCATTTCTTGTTACCGGAAGTCTAAAATGATGCAAAAGGAGGGCGAATTTGCCCAAAGAAACGTAACCAGTAGGACAGACAGTAGCAGCAGGTATAAATCAACCATATTAGCTTTGGTGACCATCAGGGTATGCTACCCCGGGTTTTGGGGTTTGGGGTAGCAAAAATGAGCGATATCCACGGGTAGTCAGGGTATTCAAATTTTATAAACTATGATAATAAGGCTTTACAAACAATCCTGCAATTTAATAAGTTATTAAAATTCAATTAATAAGCTGCTTTGCTGCGAAATTGCTGAAAAGCAGACTGTCCCCTCAACTTAATACCTAGTAGTCGCAAAAGTTCTGTTATAAGAACAACTCGCTGTAGCGAACCCAGTTTATCGAATTTCGAAAAACTAATTAAATCACTGAAAAGCCCATGAAATTCTGTATATGAAACATGATTCACTTTTTATAGTGTCAATCTTATAAGGCTAGGCGAGCCCGCAGTCTTTGTACCCACCACTCGATCGAAGTACGCACGCGTTCCCGGGAAGATTGACCCCATATCCTGACGACAGACTTTTTTATGGATTCCAAACTTGTGTGAAGTTTAGCACATACATCCAGCTAAAGTTTGAAAAATGTATCATAGTTCAGCAGGATTAGGTTCGACAACAGTGAATTTTTTTCTTGATCCGAAATGGAGTCAGGAATTGAGGATTTTAACCACCGAATTGCTATCTTGGCCATATGAACAGGACCTGAGCCCGTGTTGAATGTTACGTCACTATTTTTGAATAGGTAATAGTTCAATGGTTCCACAATTCGCTCGAGATTTCACCCCCTTGCAAGGGGGTGAAAATTTGTGTCAAAAATTATTTATAATTAAAAAATTATTAATTATTACAAAATTATTTATAACTAAAAAAATCATAAAAACAGGATGATGGGCCCCATCAAAATTTTTGAAATTTTTAAGAATAGCCTAGACTGGTGGGTTACAAATGTGGTATTCTTGCTATTTTATTTAGCCTCACCCATAAAAGTGGGCTCATTTTTTTTAAATATCGGTTTCCATTTTTCAAGCGCGTACCGCGTGATCAGCACCCGGGTTCTGATGGGTCTGTTTTCACTTCGCGTGTAGCTCTCCATTTAGGTTTGAGGAGAACAAGTAGTTCTCCTCAAATCTTAAAGATATAAGTCTAAGGTTTACATTAAGGGCCCGGGACTTACTTTTACTTAATCCGTTCATTTGTGAGGGAAATTTTCTTAGGGGTCGGCATGGATTCGGGCGAATCCAGTTTTTTCGCACCTTCGTCAATTCTGGTGACCTTTTTAGCCGTTCACTTCTACTTCATTTTCCGTAGTCGACACTGCCAGTGTCACTGCATCATTTTATGGTACGGTCGACCATCTTGCAATCAATTCCGATTTTTATTGAACAATTTAAAACCCAATTCACAGAGCGCAACGTGCGATTAGGTAGAACTCCGAACAAACGAAGCAGTACTAGCAAAAGGTAAAAAAAAACTATTTTCTTGTCCCGTGGATACGTTTGTGCTTATTTTTTTGTCCTTCCCGCTCTGACAGACTTCGCCTTTACATCGAGCTTCTCCTTGTACTGTTCGGATTCCAGTTTTTCCTCCCTCTGATCTACGAGGTGTTGATTTTATTTAAGAGTAAGAATTAAATGATTCGACAAGCAGATCCGCCGACTATTTCAAAAGTACAAATACTTAATTGGATTATGTTCCCCACATGAAACGAATTAAAACTTAGCATTTTTTCGGGCGCCAAAATTTCCTTTGGGGGGGTTATGAGAATAATGGGAGATAAATGTGGTGCACATAGGGCACAGCATATCTATGAAATGGGTTGATGAAATTTCAAAAACAAAATTTTTTTGCACTCTATGGATCAGTACCCCCATAGGTTTTTCGAACTGAGGTGGAATTCCGACTTTGAGGGGTTTTTCACAGCGACGCAAAATTGACTCAGAAATTAATTTTTCGCTATAACGAAAAAGTATGACGAAATGTTCATACATTAGCTTTTCGCCAATTTTTACTACATTGCAAATTATTAGTAGTAGAATAAAGGTTAAATTACAAAGAAAGTCGAAATCGACATGCGTGACCTTTTTCGGGGATCGAAAGGTCACAATGTCAAAGGTCACATTACCCCATAAATGGGGTATCGTTGGAAAGGTATTGGCGAGGGGATTTAGAATATGTATACTTTGCGGGGTCTGAAACCACTCCCTGCAAGTCTAGAGGCCAAAGAACGAAAATCGGCAGTTGTCCAGAATTTAACACAGCAGTGGATTGGGAGCTAACACGGAAGCATGCATGGGAAAAACTCAAAAATATTATTTTGGCTCTATGTTTGCAGGGAGTGGTTTCAGACCCCACAAAGTATACATATTCTGAATCCTCTCGCCAATAACTTCCCAACGATACCCCATTTATGTGGCTATGTGACCTTTGACATTGTGACCTTTCGATCCCCGAAAAAGGTCACGCAGGTCGATTTCGACTTTCTGGGTAATTTAACCTTTATTCTACTACTAATAATTTGCAATGTAGTAAAAATTGGTGAAAAGCTAATGTATGAACATTTCGTCATACTTTTTCGTTATAGCGAAAAATTAATTTCTGAGTCAATTTTGCGTCGCTGTGAAAAACCCCTCAAAGTCGGAATTCCACCTCAGTTCGAAAAACCTATCGGGGTACTGATCCAGAGAGTGTAACAAAATTTTGTTTTTGAAATTTCATCAACCCATTTCATAGATATGCTGTGCCCTATGTGCACCACATTTATCTCCCATTATTCTCATAACCCCCCCAAAGGAAATTTTGGCGCCCGAAAAAATGCTAAGTTTTAATTCGTTTCCTGTGGGGAACATAATCCAATTAAGTATTTGTACTTTTGAAATAGTCGGCGGATCTGCTTGTCGAATCATTTAATTCTTACTCTTAACTTAAATCCAAGCCTGGACAAAATTTACGTTTCCATTATTCTCGACCATGTCCCCATCTGCCACAGCTTTTTCTTATTTTTGGTCCTAATTCGGTACGGACAGACGAAAGTTGGGCTGAAACAAGTTGTCGTCCTCGAAGAGGGAAAACTGTTAAAAAACGCGGGTAAGTGTTTTTCCTTATTAAATGGAAATTTGATTGCATTATTTGAAATTATTTATTATTTTTTGTTTCCGATTTAGATTTACTATTTGAGAGTGTGTCAAGTGGGAAAGTCGCGTTGGTTTTAATCCAGCACGTAAAGTGCGGATGGTACCTGGTCAAAATTCGAATTGTTCTCGCTTTTCTGAAATTAACAATTTTTTGTAGAAAAATAACTTGTAAGGAGAAGGCTTGTTGATTATTTTCAAGTGTTTCTTCTATAATTACATAAGATTCGGAGTGGATAAAATGTACGATGCGGTCAGAAATATGTTTATTATTGTCAATTCACACATTAAATGTAAAGCAACCTATAGGTATTAACTTCTGCACCCTTATAAAGGGTGTTAATAAAGTCCGATCCCATTTTTCCTATAAAAAAGTGAAGGCTAGTATAAAAAAAACTACCCGTGATACTTACAAAAAATGTTCGACATATTTACCTTAGTATTTGGTCTTGTTACCATTTACTTTAACCATGCCCTCAACTCTTTGTTTAAGGCTCTGTGCTAATTTTTCCAATGTGTCTGTGGGAATCGAATTCCATACATCTTGAACTTTTTTTACTAGCTCTTCCCTCGTCCGGGGTTGTGGTTCTTTGTATACATTTTCCTTAAGTATGGACCACAGGTTCTCCAGGGGATTCAAATCTGGGCTGTTTCCGGGCCACACCCCCTTGCTCCAGACCGTTGAAACTTGCGTCTTGATGAGACTCAAACTCGCTTTTGCTGTATGGGCTGTAGCACCATCCTGCATGAAAACTATTTTTCTTTCATTCGGAAATATTTCCTTGTTCCCCATGCTATCGAAATAGATAGGTAATATTTTTTCCATATAATACTTTGCATTGACTGTTTGGCCTTTTGGTATGATATGTAGAGGAGTCACGCCACGTGCACAAAATCCACCCGCTACCATAACTTTAAGCCCGAATTTTGGGACTGCTCTTGATGGTACATCCGATTTGTTTTCTGTCCTGTAACGAACATTTTGTTGGTTCAATTTTGGATATAGCTCAATAATAGATTCGTCAGTCCAAAGGATGTGACTGCGCAATTCTTCACCAAGTCTTTTTTCACTCAAATGGCCACTTTTCTGAAGGAGTTCTCCAAATTTCAGACGGTCATCGATATTTTTTTGTGACATGAGAGGTTTTTTGGTTAGTTTGTAAGCTGTGTGACCCCACCTCGTAGATTTCACAAATTTTTGCACGGTCACATAGTTAATTTGCTTCTTCTTCTCTTTATAGCGTTTTGAGTCATTTAACTCCCTTGCACAATTACGTAATGAACTACCGGTTTTCTTGTAAAGTCTGTTTTTAATCATTCTCTTTGTGGTAGGTGACACCTTTCTGGGTCGCCCGGGTCGCTTTTTGTCGTGGACAAAATTTTTGTTCTTCCATTTCCAAACAGTTCTGCGGCTGCAGCCCAATTTTTGCACAATTTCTGCAGGTTTAAACCCCTGCTGATGCAATGTTTGTATCTTAACTCTAAGATGCTCATGACTTACACGTTTAGTTGTTCCTCCCATGGTAAAAATTTGAAATAAATAACTTCACTGGTTCAAAAGTTCCAGCTGAATTTGTAACAACCGCGCTCCAAAAAATTCATGGGATCGGACTTTATTAACACCCTTTACATTGGAATACATTTGAAGCGAAACCGCATGTGAGTCACGTCACGACTGAAGTGGGCGGAGAGGAATGTATAAAAAATCGATAGTATTTCCACCGACCTTCAAAATTTTACTCGAAATTGTATTCATCTCACAGCCCAGGAACATAATGAAGAAAGGGATTATATAGCTCTACTTTCGAAATTTATACCTTTGAGGAATCTTGTACATAATTCTTACTCACAAGGGAACCTCAACTACTGTCCCATCTCGATTTCCTTCGGAGTAGCCTTAATCGACGGATAATTTAATGAAACAAAAACTTTGTCATAGAACATGCGGTGCAAAATCGCGTTTTCGCGAAATATTTAGCAATAGCTGCACCAAAACCTGCCATTTTCCCAATGCTTTTGACATAGCCACCAGCATTTCGAATGATGAAATGAACTGAAGAATATTTAAAAATTATTTATGGACCCGTCCGCGTAATTTCCGCCCGATCGCGAATATGCAAAAAGTGATGCAGACATTTGCCAATTTTTTGCAAATTGCGAAAATCGGTAAAATTTCGCAAAATTTGAATTCTTCGTTGCTTTAAATTCAACAAAATTATTGCATGAATGCATATTTTGCAAAAAATTTGCAAAAATTTGCAAAAATTGAAGTTCGCAATTTTTCATGAAAATTACATAAAATAACTAATGCTAGTCTATTTTTACGTATTATTCGAAATTATTTGCGATATTTATTTTTGCAAGTTGCAAAAAATTGCAATGTGTGGCGTGAATTTTTAGTTGTTTAACAAATTAGCTTTTCCTCCATTCGTACATACATATGTATGTAAATGATAAATTTCTAGTTTCTATAATGAAATACGATAATGAAAAATTGAAAAATTGCGAACTTCAATTTTTGCAAATTTTTGCAAATTTTTTGCAAAATATATATTCATGCAAAAATTTTGTTGAATTTAAACAAACGAAGAAATCAAATTTTGCGAAATTTTTCAGATTTTCGCAATTTGCAAAAAATTGGCAAAGGTCTGCATCACTTTTTGCATATTCGCGATCGGGCTGAAATTACGCGGACGGGTACATAAATAATTTTTCAATATACTATAAAGTTCATTTCATCATTCGAAATGCTGGTGGCTATGTCAAAAGCATTGGGAAAATGGCAGGTTTTGGTGCAGCTATTGCTAAATATTTCGCGAAAACGCGATTTTGCACCGCATGTTCTATGACAAAGTTTTTGTTTCATTAAATTATCTGTCGATTAAGGCTATTCCGAAGGAAATCAAGATGGGACAGTAGTTGAGGTTCCCTTGTCAGCGATAATCATATGTAAATATGTAAGTATTCTAAATTTACATAACCTGCATGCAAAATGCCAGTTTACAACGTTGAGTGACTACTCCGTGCCACGATGCCCGTATCTGTTAGTAGATATACATAAGTATGTCCATGATGATGAATTTCATTAGCACAAATGCTGAAAATGAGTTGATGTTTGCATGCCAACTACAAACAAGCTTTTAGCATGAAATTCCTCCTGTAAAAATAAGTGGTTATGTAAGGAAAACAATATGTTCTAGTGGATAGTTTTCGTAACGTGTGCAATACTAGGAAATGCTGTTTTCCCAAACGGCGTGGATAGAAATGCTCGTTAGCTAGAGCATGGATGGTTACGGAAAGTGACCCTTGCGCAAAAACATAACCATTATTTTCAAGTAAGAATAACTTATCCATATAACTTTCCAAGTTATATGGATAAGTTATTCTTACGTTACGTTAATTAATCCACTAAAATATATTGCCTTTCTTCCATAACCAGCCGCTTATTTTTACCCGAGGCATGCCGTGCCTTGGGTAACTTATGAGCTGGCATGCAAATTCCAATCCACTTGCGACGTTTGTGCTGATGAAATTTCCGATCATGGCTGTATGTAGGTACTGGTGTCGAGACTGAGAGAGACCACCCTGGGTTTTAGTAAAGCATTGGGTACAATAAAGTTAGGATGTTCAATTTACGCGTGGAAAACCTTATTTCAATAAGAACACAACTGTAGGTAGACGTTGTTCTAACGCTATGAAACACGTTGGATAACTGTAGTATGCACAAAAACATCAAATGAGCCAAGAATTATAATCTCCCCACCAAACTTATCATGCTGCTTCCATCCTGGATTTGCATCCTTATCGCGACATTCTTCGCGTTATCGTATTACTGTAATTGTACAGCTTGGAGAGGAATATTTGTCGATGCCGATCTCACTTTCAAATACATAAATTCTAATGACGAGGGAAAGTCCGTGGACATAGAATTCCCATATTTTCAGGTCATCAGGGAAGATAATTCATACACCCCGCTGCGATATTTCGAACTGCAACAATCAATACTTTCAACGAATGATGCCAACGCATACCGAAATCACGTTAGGGCGCATCGCTATCGTGATACGGAGAAATCTGCACGGCCTAGAATTGTCTTCATCGATATGAAGTCGTGCAACCACTTATTTCTGTTCACTGGTTTGCCATTTCGACAAGAAGTCATTTTTGGTTACTATCGCAGTCAGAATGATTTGTCTTGTCTCTCCACCCATGTTTTCTTTTTGGGTACTATGAAACTAGTTTTGTTCCAAGACGGTATCACCTTATCTTTACTTGTTCCATGTTTGACGTGTGATCCAATTACGTTTTCAAAAATTAGGACGTTGACGTTGCGAGGCATCCGTAAATCTTGGGACGCCCAGAATATAGGTCTCCATCAATATATCGTATTTTTGGATAAGCCAGTGCAAGGAAAGTGCGACCTCTTACAGGATGAACTTGCCATGTTAACAAATTTCAATTTTTGCACCGCGGCGACAATTGCGGAAAGGTATAATTTGACCTTATTGCGCGCGAAAAGTCGCGAAGTGGCTGATGTGATGCGGAATAATGATAATAGTTTCGGGCATTCAATTTTGGTAGATTTTGATTATATTCCCAGATACTTATTTACCTATTTTGAGCCTTATTTTCGATCAGTTAATTTTCTGACTATTACCAACCCACCGTCTGCTAGAAGTGGGATTGTCACATTTGTGCTCCCGTTTGAATTGGAAATTTGGTGGCACCTCTTGGTCAGTGTTATCTCAGTTGCGGGAATTTTAACGTTTTCAGCATGGGCGGGAGGAGGCCGTGATGATGGCATTCCCATGAAGACTGAGGGACTATGGCGTGAGGCAGGGTTCTATGCTGCTGCTATGGCGGAGAAGGTCATTACAGTAACGTTTATATTTCTCGGCCAGGTAGGAGATAGCTCTGGAAGGACATATCGTAAAGGAAAGGTGGCTATTATCGTATTCACCATATGGTTCTTCGGTAATCTCTTCCTTATGGTTAATTATTATCAGGGATCAATATATTCATGCATTGCCGTCCTATACCCGCCTCGTACTCCAGGTGGAGTGGAGGAACTTGTTGATTTTGATATTCCAATAGTGGATACTGGGACATATACTACCTTTAATGGTACAAAAGAAACGAATCTTCATGATGTCGTTCTTCCTAAATTAATACCCAGTGTTAGTCAGAATCCCAAACTCTATCAGCTCTTAACCAGGTTTAAGGCAAAGCTCTTGTCCATTAATGACATGTACGTACGTGAA